GAACCCCAAAAGCCCACCTTAGGCTTCAGGACTTCCTGTCCTCGCAGGGGCCTCGGAAAGGGAAAATGCAACCGGTTGCGCAACGTCATTACTTGGACTCAGGTCTTGGGATATATTGCAGTATAATGCAGGTGCCTGAATTGTTAGAATAGGGTTTTGAGTTACTTTATACTATAAGTATAGTAAGTAACCCCTAAACGGCACAGGTATTTATTAGGCCCCTAGATTAGTTACATCGACTAGGGCTTTAGGGTGTATTGTCGTATAGTTACAAGGGGATTCTCGGGACGTTGGGACGTTTAGGCAACAAGGGTCCTGAGCTGTCAGGAGGCTCTGCTTGTCTGGATGTTCATATATATATATATACTTATTTATTTATGTATGTATGTATGTATGTATGTATGTAGAAATGTAGAAAGTTGGGGGGATGGCCAAGGTGATGACGATACAGATAATGACAGTGCAGACGATGACGACGGTGGCGACAGCAACAAGGATAAGGCTGCTGCTGGTGTTCAGCACGGAGAAGATCATGGTACATCGGCTAGAAGGGTGTATTGCAAGCAGGCGGCTCACTCAAACGCTGACTCAAGTCTTAAGTCTGCTGAGATGTTAGTTGTTATATTATATGTTGATAAGTGTTAGGTTATACTGTATTGTCTTACATATATATATATATATATGATGTCATATTTTCTAAGACGCTGAGGGCATCTGCTGACATCTGGCGGTACTACTTCCCGGAACAGAAGCCGTCTGACGACGTGGCGCGGCGCCGAGACAGCTCCCCGAGCACCCAATCCCGGGAAGCCCGAACCCCGAAAGTCCAGTTTAAGCCCCCCTAAAACAAAAGTCGAAATAGTAATATCAGAAGCATAGAGCTGCTGGGTCTTCCAGCGCTGCTTGCTTTCCCGTGCTGTCAGTGGCAAGGGAGCCTTTTTTGGCCATGAGGGATTTCAGGCTAGGGTTTAGAGGGGCAGAGAGGGTTTAGAGGGGCATCATTGGTTCATAGTCCTTTTGGGCGCCAAGATTCCGGAGCAAACTGAGGAACCAATCACGGCCGCGTGTCTGGGTTCCCTGAGGTAGCGAATTGGCAATTTAGGGTACATTCCTTTTTTGCATCTCTGTAAACCCAAAGATCATGCAATGTGTGGGATATTCCTTATTTACAGCATCACAACACATCGTACCCCTCGAAAAGCCGTGCAGGCATGTTCACCGGATGAAAGCATTACAATATAACTAGGCTGTTCCTGACTCTAGCAATGTCTGTTCCCGACTTGTCCGACTGTGTTCCCCACTTCCCCGCGACTCGCGCCCCGCTTATTCCCGACTTGTGCGGCTGACTCCTCTCTCATCCGACTGTGCTGCGCCTGAGGCGATTGGTGCCGGATAGTGAGAACAAACGTGAAAACACCTTCAGGAAACCCCAAGGTAGCGATCCTTATAGTGCGGTTTCTTACATCTAGGATCAATATTCAGGCATGCTGATGCTGTCCATTTTCAGCTGAAGGATTTGTTTCACGATACTCTTGGCTGCGACGCGTGCGAGCAAAGGGTAAGATCTGCCAGGGCTTGCATGCTCTTCCCGTTCCTGCCGGGCATCTTGGGCGTTCTTGTTCTTGAACTTGCTCTCATTGTCACCATCCAACATGATGTCGGTCTTGATCAAAGGAGTAACTAGCGGTCGCAGAGAGATTGGAAACCGCGTCCGTGAAAACGGACCTTGACTACGGTGTCGTGGACACGCGCGCATGCAGGAGTCATACGTGGCAAGCCGTGCCTGGCAAATGTAGCTTCCATCTCGTGGTATCTCGAAGCGCTTGTGGTTGCTTCTTCTGGCTCAAGCCGCGAAACAGTCCCATCTCCGCCCCATCATCTTCGCTGTTCCCTTTCGTCGGAGCCCCGGCGGCAATTGCCTCAACAAGTCAGAACAGAGAAGGATGGTCATCAAGATAAAGGCCATGATGCGATGACATTTACAGTAGCGGTGACCGTGAGGTGCGTTTTGCTAATCTGCAGTTTGTTTCGTGCAATCCCTGCCGTGAGTGAGATCGCTCGGCTCGGGCAGGTACGGTGACATCATGGCCCATACGAAGGCCAAGATTGCATTGACTGGTGCAGTGCAATCCTAGGGTCCCAGAGCTACTTCTGTGGCGTTTGCGTGTTGGCGGTGTTTGGAACCACAGTGACAACACCATTCTTGGTGTTTCGTCACCTGCCAGGTGGGCTTCAGAGTTTCGACCGGATTGTCCTCCTCCTCCTCTCGCACTAGTTATTCTTTTACTCCGTGCCGAGCTGCAGACCCTCTAGACCCGAATATGCCCGAGCCGCCCGGGTGCGAGAGATGCGGTCGTCATCTTTCTGTCGTCAGCATCGCTGTCAACATGACCACCATCACAGCCGCCGTATTCCTGGCAATCATGTTCAGGACCAGGGTTATGATATGATTATGATGATGTGTTGTGCCGCCCACCACCTTGGCCTCGGAAAGGGGTGACTAGTAGGGGTGGCTTCAGTTTGCCGCAGCGTCCAGGCTTACCCCGAATGGTCAATACAATAACATATGATTATGATTCTGTACTGGTTCAGCTGATGATACTGATGTTGATGCTGAGTCTACTTGTGATGATGAAGGAGAAGAACATGATGATTCTCGATCACACTCACTACATTCATTACCGTCACCACCACCGCCGCCGCCGCCTCCACCTCCTGCTCGTGCAAATGTCGGTTCTAACATGTTCACTTCCCAATACGACAGCTATGCCGTGGAGCGCTGCGTCTTGAAGCATGAACTAGATAGATAGAGCAGGCCCATCTTAGCTTGCGCAAGGAAGGGCCTGTCTCCGAGGACGCAAGTACGCCAACGACTTCGGCACTCAGCTTGGCTGACTGACCGTGGTTCCACCAAGCTAAATGCCCAGATGCTTCCGCCACGGCCACCAACCCCGGCCGCCAGCAACACCAGCAGCAGCAGATCCACCAGCAATATCTCCACCGAGACTCCCACTACCAAGACTGCCAGCAGCTGCAGCACAACAGCGACAACAGCAGCGGTAGTCTGCCCATTTCTGCCCCTTTCGTCCATTTTCTGTCCTGACTTGCGAAAAATGCCCGAGATGGCTATGAGGTAGCCGTTCGAGGCTTCTATCTGAGATGGTCCATGTTGACCGTGGTCAACACTCGAAGGAAAGTCATCCTTTTCCAGCCAATTCCTTGCGGGAGCTCCGGCTCGTTGCAGGCTCTGATGGCGCTCGGTCGCGTGGTGAGCCTGGCTCGGTGCCCGGTGATGCCTCGGATTCTCCTGGAATCGGAGGGCTTCTTAGTCACGCCTTTTGAGCAAATTCAGTGCCCTGTGTGGAATGTTTCGCATGAGTTCGACACTTGTCAATCCTCAAGTGCTTAGAAAAGCTGTAAGAAACAATCTTAAGGGTTTTGGGTGATCAAGGCATCTCGGGGGTCAATGCATATGTCCATCTCAGCGTGTGAGAAGTGCAGCTCAACCATTTGCTGGTCTGGTTTTGTTGAGGAGCTTTGGCTGCAAGGGGGTTTGGCTTCTGGGATCTGAGCGAGGGTGTGGAGGTCTGGATCATCCGACCTGGGGATCCAGCTGCCCGACGTGACAGTTGAAGACGTGTTGTCAACCCTCCGTCGAACCCCTCTAAACCCTATAAACCCTAAGCCCCTAATTTTTTGTGACCCTCAGCCCTAATCGCCTATAGCCCTAAACCCTGAAACCCCTAAACCCCTAAACCCTTGCAGCCCTAAACCCTCCTTCGACCTCTCCAGCCGAGGCGGCGAGTCGGAGCCCCGAGCGGAGATTGCACAAAAGGGTTTTCCCTTGTCTTCACATCGACGTTCGGTTGAGGGTTCATCGTTTAGGGTTTAGGGTGTTCATGACTTCTGAGAGGAAGTATCCTTCAGCTCGCTCAACTTTCATCACTGCCACGCTTGTTTTGTGGGTATGGCGGTTGCAGGGCTTCCCAGTCAAGCTGCTCTCTTGGGATAGCCCGTTGGGGATACGACTGCTTTGGATGCACTTCAGCTGGAGGCCATTCTTGTAGGACCGAAGCATCAAAGAAAAAGTCCAGGTGAACACACCTACGGACAGCTAAGGACCAGGCCGCAGGGATGTGACTAGTGATGTTCATCCGCGCAGAGGTAAGGCAATGGGTTCGCCGAGGTCTCGCCACCGTGCTACCATTGTGGCAGCTGCAAGCGCGCGATTTCGAGGAGCCCTGGGCCGTTTCAGGAGCTGCAGACTGGCAGTACATTCGAAAAGAACCTTATTGATAATAGAGTCATATCAACAATTTGCTTGTCATGATCTTGATTGTGCTTGCTACTACTTATAGTACTACTTATACTACTATATAATTACGACGACGACTACGACGACGACTACGACGACGACCACGATGACGACGACAGCGAGGACAACTACGACGACGACTGCTACGACTGCGGCTTCTGCTGCTGCTAGTGTTACTGCTGCTGCTGCTGCTTCTGCTGCTGCTACTGTTACTGTTACTGATACTGCTGCTGCTCCCGCTCCCGCTCCCGCTCCCGCTCCCGCTCCGGCTCCTGCTCCTGCTCCTGCTGCTCCTGCTACTCTGCTACTGCTACTTTTGCTGATCCTGTGCTGCTGCTGCTACTCCTCCTGCTACTCCTCCTACTCCTGCTCCTCCTACTCCTGCTGCTGCTGCACCTTCCACGACGACCACGTCTACTAGAGTTACGCCTTTTGCTGCGAATACTCGCCAGGCCCGGCGCCTTGCGGCAGTGAAGGTGAAAACCTGTCCAACATCTCGACTGCCCCGTCCTCGGGGGTGACGGACTTTCTCAAGGACTTTTTCAAGCCCCTGATTCTCCTTGCGGTCATCTGTAGACGCCTTCTTGTTGTGGTTTGCTCTGGCGCATTTGCTGCTGTTACTACACTTACTGTTTCACTTGATGCGCGGCTGCTCTCACTTGTCCTTGAGCCGCGAGCCGCCCAGGGGTGGGCTGCCCTTCCCCGGCCTCGATGCCGTGACTTCTGCTTTGCCATCGCCTGGCCCCCAGCAGCGAGCACTTCCAACGCTCAAGAAGCGATCCCATGAATGCAGTTAAGATTTCAGCACTCCGCTCCTCCTTCTGCACGTTAGTTTAGCCCCCGCTTCGTATCATTGCAACCCCCTTGTAAGGTGTCGGGTTTAAGGGACTAGGGTTTAGGGGATTTGGGTTTAGGTTATGAGGGTTCAGGGGATTAGGGGTTAGGGTTCAGGGTTTGCCTGTCGTCTGCACGTTCCCTACAATCAAAAACTCCCTCCCGAGGGGCCCCGAAGCTCTTGAAAGCTGTGAGGCCCGATGTGGTGCGGCCGAGGCGGGACATGGCGGGCCTGTTCTTCGGCTTCAAAGCTTTGATTATAGGCTTCAGGCATGGTAGTATTCAAACCGAATGGCATTCCTCTTGGTGTGAGGTATGCAGGGGATTGTTTCAGCGTTTGTGGCCTTGGGAGAGTAGGAACTCGAGCATCTGGCGCCTGCTGCTTTGTGAAGGGACGGCCTCTGTGTGTCCGTTGCAGATCATCAGTATGTGTAAACATTTCTGCAACCACGACACTTGGGTCTTTCCATGCTGTCCCCGTCGTTGTCCACGTTGCTGTCCTCGTGAGCTCTGCAACCTGTTACCCTTCAGAGGCCAAATTCCGACACCTTCACCACGACGGTAGTGGCGTGCCAGAATTCGCTGGCAACCAGTTCCGTAGCCAAGCACAGTCTTGGAAATGATGCTCAGCAGCTCTGGAGGGTCGGTTTTTTTTCGGGACCCGACTCGAAAAGTCGCGGCGTTTCGTTTTGGGAATGCACTCGCCAAGAAGATGTCTACTCGGAAATCGATATTTGCCTTTTCGTTGTTCTTCTGGCATCAACTCGAATCGTTTTTGCTCAAGGAATCAACTCGAGGAATCTTCGGACGACAGTCGCTATCAGAAGCCCGTGATTTCGAGAAGTGCTCTAAATGAAGCCATGTGCAAGTCGTCCCACACTTAAGCAGGAGCACCCTACACCCCTAAACCCGAACAGACGATTCCCGAAAGCTCCTGCCAGGCTCGTGGTGATGGAGCGCTTCATGAGGGCCGTGCCCTTCTGGCAGCCGTTGCGGGAGAAGGCGCCCTCTGGGGCTCGGGTGCTGAGTGGAAAGCCGTACCAACTAGCGGCTGGGCGAGGGCGCCGAAAGACCGTCAGACGAACTAAAAGATTTGAATCTGTTGAAACACAGCCAGAAGCACGGCAGTGCCTCATGGCACCTCCGAGCGCTTGGAGTCTGTGGGTCTAGAGGAACTTGAGCAGTGGTGCAAAGGCGTTGGCGGCCTCCAAGAGAGCTCGGTCTCAAGAGATGTCCTCGCCTTCCCTTTTCTTTTCCGCAGGTTTGGGGTTTAGGGCCAGGGTTTAAAGTCGTTCTCCATTCCTTCTCCTAAGCCCTTGCTCGGGCTTCGAGGAGATTCTGCCCACGGCCGAGTCCGACTTGGAGGACGAGATGATGAGCAAGCGCTCGCGGGATGCCGTCCTGGGTGCCCTGCTCCTCATCGGTCCGGGTGCCCGGCTTCCTTTGCTTCCTCGGCTCGTAGCCTTGTGGAACATCCGTCCAACCAGAAAATCTCTTAAGCAACAAATATTCGCTTGTGCCGGAAGATCTGCGATTCTTTTTTGGCAGTTTCAAAGATTCAGCGGAACCGAGAGCCGTGACTAAGTTGATGAAACTAGACTAGACCATGAAGGCAAGGCCAAGCTCCTTTCGACCACCCACTTTTTGCACATTGCAGGTCGTAGCGAGCATCCCTCCACCCAGGTAGCTCTAGCCGGGATCGTGTTCTCAGGAGTGGCTGTGGCCATGGCCCAGTTCTTCGCTGCCGTCGGGAACTGCGTGGCCGAAAGGACGCACGATTTGAGGTCTGCAGAGTTTCAGGGGTCAGACTCTTTCGGTCTGAAAAGCTGGGCTCTGAGAGTTGGAGACTTCTGATATCGGATCTAGGAGTTGCGCAATGGGCTTCGGATTTTTCTCAAACCTGAGTTGGGGGCTGTTGCAAGCAGGATCGGAGCCCATGCACTCCCAAAGATGGCACAGGCACCCACAGTCCCAAAGAGAGCCACAGAGAGCATCGCGAGGACGGCGTCGAAGAAACCTGTTGCTTCAAGCAGGAACGCCTGTGTGCTGACGGACGACGAGGGCTTCTCCGAGGCCGAGACCAGGCAGGGCACGTTCGAAGTCGCAGCGTTATGGTGAGGGCCGCTTGGGCGGAGTAGCAGGGATATGGATAGCGGAGATGGGGGAGCCGACCACTGTGATGATGATGAGGAGCCGGAGGAGGGGCGACGACGAGGAGGGTTTCAACTTGCTATATTGGGTGACGCCTCCTGGTATAGTTGGCCATGCTTCAGCGAACCACCTCGGCGCGGCACACGTGAAGGGTAAAGCACAGAGCCTCTCTTGCCCGCTTCGGCCTGCTTCCAACATCTTCCAACGAGTCGCAGGCTGAAGCCGTGGCATTAGGCATGCACGACGAGCATCCGACCGCCATAGTTTGCAACGCAGGTCGCAAGCTTCGAACTCTCGCCATGCCTGCAGGCCAATGCTGAAAGCGCCCGAGAAGGAGAGTGCAGGCTCCACCGAGGGGCAGAGACTCGGGTCGGTGCGGTTGGACCAGAAGTCCGTTGCAGTACAGAGGAATCAAAGCACACTGCGGGGTTTCCAGACTGCGATTCCGCCGCTGGGACTCAGTTGTTCTGCCTGCTGGCTGCATGCCGCTGCCCCTCAGGCATGCTAACTGGCTTCTACGAGTATGAGCTCTCCCTGGGGCTCGGAAAATCCACTGTACTGCTCGCACGGGGCCTTGGATCTCAACAGAGTGCTTGAAATTTCAGAGTGAACTGATCTCTCTGCATTGGCACATGCCACCCACTGGCCTCCGGAGGTTTACTACGTGCTGCACAACGGATTCCTCTTGGCCGGGGCGTCAGTGACATGGGATGGCTCTTGGAGGGATTTGGAGGGCTCTCAAACCTCAGTTCGTGAGCCAATAGGGGAGCTAGAGCCGGCAGCCCAACAGCTAGGAGCAAGAGTCCGAAAGAAAGCTCTGAACAGCCCTCCAGATTTTCTGCTCGCGAAGTTCCTGCGTTCCGTTGTCATACAGTCCAACCTGGTGATCTGTCGAAGAAATGCCCTGCCACGCCCCCGACTGGCCCCTGCGGGGGTGCAAGACCAGTGAATCTTCCCCATCGACTCTCTCTGTGTGCTGTGTGCAAGCTTCTGGCTGGAAGCTATCGGTAACCCGAAACTTGCTGCTCATGTTCGTGCAGAGAGTGCAAGGAATGCTCATGATGATGCTTGCCGTCGTTGTAGGCATTATGAAATCGGCCGGACGTGTGCCCTGTTGAAACGTCTTCCTCGGTCTCACAAGCGGAACTTCAATAAACCTTCCTGCCTTGGGGATGAGCCACGGCACAGCTGCGGCCGGACGTTTGCTACGTCCTTTGGGAAGTCGGCGAAGCACTTGTCCCCATGTGCCTACTTGCGAGCTGAGGCTCGAAGACGATGTGGGCGAGCGTGAGGGTTGTTGGTCTAGGTAACAGGGCCGAGCACCCGCCTCGAACAGAGTGTTGTCCTAGAGGCCGTCCGCTATGCAGGCCAGCTGGGAACGGCCCCTGCAACCGCGCTCGCCAAGGTCCTAATGTCCTGGTGCATGATGAACAACATGATGCTGGGAGCCTCGCCTAGAAGAACGTTTCACCCAACCATTCAAAAGACGCCGCTTCCGTGTCCACATGAAAGCCCGAGGAAGCGCGGGCATAGTCTGGGAGGCCATTGGTCTCTGGCTGGTCGCCAGCCTCTCAGAGACACGGCTGCTCAGGTCTCTTCTTGAAAGAAAGTGCCTTGTGCAACCGAAGCCCTGCAGCTCTGGCGTCCAAGAGCTCCTCCAGGCCGTGCTGGCCGTCGACGTTTTTGGGTACCTTTGCCGCGCCGTTCAGGCCCTGGAAATGCTGCCCCACGGATTCTTGAGCAGAGACGGTGTATTCAGGACCCTCGTGCTCCGGCGTACTTCAGGGCTCAGCACCTGCTCCAGTGACTGAGTGTTAGAGAAGCCAGCCTCCGCGACGTGCGAGCAACTGCAAGCTGCCCTACCCCCTGCCCTCTCTCTGGAGGCTGCGTGGATTGGCCGGAAGGTGCCAAGCCCATGGGTGCCAATGATCTTGTCTGCCTGGAGCTCGTGGAAGCGAACCGTACTTCGAAGTGGAGACTGATGTGGTATTGGGGAGTTATCCTAGCGAGCAAGTCTGCGCGCCGATTTGTGGAGCAGATATGGAACATGCTCACATCTGCCTGTCGCTGAGATCGCTCCCATTCTGGGACCCAGAGTGGATCTCCTGAAGGATGCAGCTGCGGGGGCAGGGAGCCTGAAGCCTGTCGTTGCTGAGGGGCCACGTCCATCCTCGCTTCCTCTGCTCCCGAAATTAATTAGCAGAGTGTCTATGCCTCGCCGGACCCAGACCGCCTTGGGAGGACTGCATCTTCACGGCTTCCGTGTTGCAGTTGGCCGCCTGTGCGGAAGACGATCGAATTCAACAAAGGGGCCGGGTGCTGAAGTGGTGCTCTTGGCTGCGTGACCGACGTGTTCTATGCTGGGATTGCAATTTCTGGTAGGGCTGTAGACTTCAACATGCCATCACATTCCTAAGCAGTTGCACAGTGTGTGTACGGGTAGGGACATGCGAGTTGTTTGCCTTGAGCTGTTCTGGCGATTCTTTGGAAACGTTACATGCTGTCAGCAGCGAGGTGCACGATCCTCTTTAGCCAGCGATTTTCAGCACATGCGGTTCGCCCACACACAGAACGGCAAATTCCGCCTGCTACCCGGGTCATGCTTGGTACATGCGAAGTTGAAACACGCATAAACACATGCGAGGCACTACGACTCCAGGTATTGCCAAAACTAACCAGCAGCGAGTACGCAGTGCCCCAAGCATACCTCACATGCACCCGTCGAGGCATGCATGTTTGCATACGTTTCCACATGGAACCAGGATTCCTTGACAATAGAGAGCCTGTGCGTTGCCCTGCGCTCTGCAGAGGCTTCTGGATCGGAGTCTGCAGCCTGGTGACATTGTTCACGCCAGGGCCGTTCCTGCGGCTGAGCTCAAGCAGTGCCTCAAAGTTGGCTTGAATTTTAGAAGCTTCCTGTGTTAGCCCAAGGCCCAATACTTGTACGTAACAGGTTGAGCTTAGGCCAGGCCCAGGTGGGGGCAGGCAGGTCGCCAGCGAGGCTTCGGCGAGAGTGGGTTCTCTTCGGATGCGTGGCTTCTTGTCACCGCTGCAACGGGTCTGAGGTTCTGGGACGGCGCGAGCAGGACCCGCTTGCTCTGAGACCCAGCGCAGCCAGAATGCTACAGAACGATCAGAACGTTGGGCATTCTGCTCCGGAGCGCATCTTCGAAGCTCTCGTTGGCCTTTGGTCCGAAAGGGTCGGATTTCTCCGCTCTTCCTGCAGGATGGAGGTTGCGAAGGAGTTCCTGCCCGCGCTGGGTGTCCGCCTGCAGGCCATCCGGTCCAAGCTGCCTTGCGTAGCTGTTGACTCGGCACAGCCCTGGGGGCGGATGTCCGATTTGAGTTTCCAGAGGGCTTTGGATTCCATCTCGAATCCGAGCGGGCTAAACTCTTCATACTGATAGAATGCCTTTACCTGTCCTCTCTTCACATGCGAGATTTGTGCTGTGCTGCACCCACTGCTGCAATCCGCCATGAAGACCTACTCAGGCATTTCACAACTCCACGTCTTCATGGCTAGCGGGACGCTTACTAGCGAGAGGCTCAGAGAGGCCACCAGATGCACCTCGTCTGCCAGTTTCGGGTGACTTGCAAATGCCGCTGAAGAATCGAATGTGAGGATCTCCTCCGGTCCGGCGAGATTTGTGAGTGCTTGGCGACCGGCTTGATGCTGCCGGTCGTTGTGTTTTTCGAGGCGAGGGGGGCTTGCTGCAGTGGCAAATTCAAATCTCAGTGCTGCACGCGTTCTGTTCGTGGCAGTCTGCAGCGGCACGCTGCAGGAATGAGCAGGATTTGATCATGGCTGGCAGGCTAGGATTGAGTTCGTCAAGGTCCTGTCGCAGCAGAGCACTCCAGCGCGGCTCTGTCTGGTCCCCAGCCGCTCGCGCATTTCGAACTGAAGAGCTGCTGGCATGCACAGCCCAGGGACTGCGATTGGCGAGGATGTGCCACAGGCGGCGGTGCACCTAGCTTGGTCTCTAACCCACCGTGTATACCGGGTCAATGCAGCAGAAGTGGGCCGAGTAACGCGCAGAGAAACCACGGAATTCTGCGAGGGTAACAGCATTAACACGGCTCGAAGAGCCATCGCGACGTGCATCTTCTGCTGCAACCTCAGTTGTCCGTCTTGCCGGTAAGTCTGTCGAACCAGGTCTTGGCCGTCATGGCGATGCTAAACTTTCAGAAGTTTAGTGGCCTTCTGCTGCTAAACCTCGCCATGCCCTTAAACATCACCGCGGCACCCTTTGGGCCTCGAGCGATGGTTTCCTCCCTCGAGGTCTTCTGCTGCGTTAAGATCGCGGGCATCTTGGCCATCCGGTGGCTCCTCTTGCTCGGGCTTCAGCTTCCCCTCGTGCTCGAGCGGCCCAGTCCAGTCCTGGAAACTTGACGAAGGTTTTCCGGTGTGTACAGCCTCGACCCGTCTGCCATCGCGATCGTGGCGGTGCCCCTCTCGGCTGCCATCGCCAAAATGCAAACCACCACAGCCTTGATCCCGACCGGAAACCTCATGCACCGCACTGAGGCTTCACAGGGCCTTGAGGTCCAAAATGTACAGGGCCAGGTCCTCAGAGGTTTCTTTCGACTGGAAGGGTTGGCAGCGCTGGGAGCCTGCTCGATGCCGCTGCGCCCCGCATGTCACCCGACCAAGCAGAAATCCGCAAGTCCATCCGCTCCATTACCTACGTGGCCGAACAGGCCAGTCTCAGCGCAATTTTGGAAACATCATACAATCGCGAATGCGATCAGCTTCTTCTTTTTTACTTGGTGCTCTTCGTGTTTCCAATCTTTGTGGGACCTAGCATGTGGATGTTTGTTGTCCGGACGGTTCACGCTTGTTGAAGATGATTCTGAAAGGATGCTGACTTTGTGCAGGGGCCGGAAAAGCAGTCATGCATCTGTGCCTATCTTCTCCAGCGGTCATTGAGACGTGGCTCAGGTAAGACACCTTTGATGTGCGCTGCCGAGCTTGGCGACGTGGAGATTCTGGCGACGCTTCTGAGCAGCGGCGCAGAGAAGGACGCCGCACGATCGAAAAGCCGGGCCGAATTCGTTTCTGAACAGCTCCTCAGCCTTCTCCCTCGGTGTACAGCATCGAAGAGCCTCGACCGGACTTTACATCCTTGAAGTCACTTGGGCGGAATACGGTACAACGATGAGGCAAGTGGCGCAGGATGCTGTGGTGCGATGCTGATGTTGGATTCGGGTTTGCGAACAAGCTGCCGGACCATGACCTTGAATGATGATCATCACTTTAGCCTTCGACTGACTCATCACATGCAGAACAGGTTTCCTGGTTCACTGATGGTGGCGTCCAGGTAATCTTGATCATGTGCTCTCTTCTGGCTACATTGTTTTTTTGACTTGTTGAAGATGATGTTGGTTTCAACAGGGTCTCCAGGTTCTTCGCACGTGTGGGGCAGCATTGACATGCGGATTCTTGCGACAGTAGTTCCTTTCGTGAGCATTTGCGCACTGCATTGTCTAGTATATTTTGGATTCGGTAGCAACATTGCTTGTGAGTCCAGTTCCTTTCAGATCCTTTCATGGGCATTTGTGGGCTTTTCTCAGAAATGCCACACAACCGACGCATCCAACCCTTCCAAACCCCCTCCTCGGAGCCCTGAGTCACCTTTTCCGAACCTGGGCCTGTCAGGACGCAAGGGACAAGGGGGGCCGGAGTCTCGGAGGGGCTGTGCTCTGCTTTGGCGGCGATGCTCCCTTTTCAGATACTTGTACGTGCGAAGCCTCTGGAGTGCAGTGACCTTCCCAAAAAGGATAAGAAAAGGGAACGGCAGAGCATGTTCTGGGTCTTTTCTGGGCCCTGGCCGGTTTCGGACGTCGAGATCTTCTCGTTTTCTTCGGCGGCGCCCTCGAAGCCTCCGCCAAGAGCCGAGGTGGGACGCTGCTGCACTTCGCCGCCGCAGAAAGAGGCAGCGCCGCGTGCGTGGACTTGCTTCTCCAGGCCGGCGCCCAGAAGGCGCGCCCGCGCCGCTCCCAGGGTGGCTTCGGCGGGGTTCGGGGGAGGGTAAGTTTCAAGGGCCAGGAGGGCGTAGAAAGATGTAGAAAGCAGGGTGTTCCTAGCGGACAGAACCCCAAGTCTTGGAATTCAGAATCGCAGTTTTACAGATTCCATCCAATGGCCTTTGTCGACATGTCTTGCTACCTTCTGAGCAGTTCCTTTCATGGGCATTTGTGCACCTCATTGACCGTGGAAGTGAGCATGAAGTAAATCGTTGCATCGGGGCCCAAGATCTTTCAGGAGTGAGCTTAGTCGATGGTTGGCTGGCTCGCTGCAGGACTGGAGTTGCTCCGGTCTTCAGTGTCCTTTGCATTGCCAGTTTCCATCTTTCGGGCTGTGTTGGCCGGCTTCTTTCTGGGCTGCTTTGTCCCCCCAGGACCCGCCGAAGGACACAGAGGAGGCCCAGTCACGAAAACAGCAAAGGCCGCCAAGTGGGCCGCCCAAAAAGGCAGCAGCCGCTGCCGCCCCCGAGTGACTTCGGCCGGTGTGCTGCCGGCAACGCTGCATGTGACCTCGATGGGCTTCGCTTGGCTTTCGAGGGCGAATTCAGTTTTTCTTCGTGAGCCGGGGCTCTCCCCGTCTGGTCCTTAAATCTGGGACGGCCTTCAGCCACTTTCTTTTCAAAACTTTGCGCCTCCTGCGGGACGATGCTCTTTCCGTCCCTACCGTCCTCCTTCCCTTGCCCCTGCCAGATGCTTTCCCTGTCAGGCAGGCGTGGCACTCACCTTGTTGCCAGGCTTGGTGAGTTGCACTCTTTTCTGTCTTCCGTTGTCACTTAGGCAGCAGCCCCGAAGGTTCCTCATCGCCCTGATGGCCCTGAGTGCCTCCGGCCCTTATGGCCCGTTGAATGCCGAGGCCATCGTTCTGCACGGATCCGGGAATTGGGACCCTGCCGACGAACATGCGTCTTGCTTACCTCGAGCCTGCCATCCTTGAAACCTTCGGAGGCACGGGCGCGCCAGCCCCAAGTTTCGATCAGGAGAACCCCGGCAGCTGCTGAAGCTTCATAAGGGTTGGGACGCTCGGTCCTTGCTCCAGCTCCGTCCAGGCCCCTTGCCGGACGGCAGATGCACCAGGGTTATCGGGTCATTCAAAGCTTGTGGTGAATGACCCTCCCCCCGCTACACTCACAGACTTTGTGGCAGCACCACCGACCGGAGGGATTTCTACACCCAGTGCCGGGTCACCGCCGAGCGAGCTTTGAGGAATGCTGTGAAGCCCTGCCTTCGCCTCCGGGACTTCGCCGGCACTCGGGCTCTCGAGGCATACGTTGTTTGGGCTGAGTCTCGGGCGGGGCGTTCAGGC